TTCCATCAGTAGAGCTAGAGGATTTGGGCTTGATTGTTCCTCAGTGCATACAACGTCATTGACGAACTCCTTTAGCAGCTCATTCAAGGTGAAGAGATCAATTTCATCCATGTCAATGCGTTGTCTCAAGTCCTTTACTGTTTTACTCCAAGATGGGTGCAGACTAGACAGAAATCTAGTATTCAGTTCCAGGTTGGTTCTGAATATTTTGATTTTCCTCATTTCATTCATCAGCTTCACAAGCCTGGCATGAGTCTCGTGAAGAGGTTCTCCAGGAGCAGCTTTGAACGAGTCATAAGCCATTAAAATAGCAGATTTCTTGGTTTTTAGGCTTATGCTCGTGCCTTGGAGTAATTTTTCAATCTCGTCCCACATTTCTTTTGCAGTTTGCATACTGTCAATCATCACGTACACTTCATTTGGGATAGCTTGGAGGAGGTATGTTTTGGCCATAAGGTCTCCTCTCAGCCTTAGCTTGTCTGCTTCAGTGTATTCAGACGGCCTCTTTCGTCTTGTTTCCGGAGGAATGGGTGGATTATTAGTTGAGTCCCCTCCTACGTCAATCATTAGTACAGCTGGTCCTTCCAGGAGTGATTCCAGCATTGCGTCGGAGTTTTCTTTGTGTTCTAGGAAATTCAAAAAACGAGTTCTCCACATTTGGTACTCCCCTTTCCTCAGAGATGGAGGAGTACTGCTGTTTCCTTGCGCATTGGATTCAGAAGCCATTCCTGTAGCTGTAGAAAACTGACCGTTCGAGAAATAAGATCAGAAAATTTACTAAGTCAAGAACTCGAGTTCCTGAGTATTAAAAACCTAAACTCGAGGTCTGGTGAACTCGAAGTGAGAGTTCGAGTTTGTGAACTCGAGGTCAAGAGTTCGAGTTTCCAAAACTCGAGGTGTAAACTCGCAGGGTCAAAACTCGTGGTCAGACTGCGAGTTTGCAGGCTGCGAGTTTGTAGACTGCGAGTTGTAGAACGCGAGTTGTAGACTGCGAGTTCTTGAGCTCGAGTTTGCAGACAGCGAGTTTCTCAACTCGAGTTTGCAGACTGCGAGTTTATGCAATAACACCTTGGGCTGCGAATTCCCGAAAAAATAAAACTTCAGATTTTTCAGAAAAACAAAAATGGTAGGTTGTAGCCCTTGTTGTAGAGATCCTTTTACCCAAGTTTCAGGTCAAAAAGCTGCACAGAGTTGAGAGAAACGAGGGGTGCGAGTTCTTGGGTGCGAGTTTACAGCGAACGAAAAAACGCGGAAACGGAAAAGGAAGATATACTGCTTGATCGTCTTTGAAACGCGATTCTAATAGTATAACTTTTACAGTATTTGGTGCACAAATAAGATTACAGATGATAAACTCGTTATTCTACAAAAACAGAGTCTTTCGCAGATAGTTCTTCTGATCAGCTCTCGATCGGCTCTGATACCATTTGTTAGTCCCTGTTTTCTATAACAACAGTATAATATGGCATACAGATGAAAGATTAACAACAAAGATGAACACAGAAAGATCAAGTGTAAACCTTCTCTGATATATCGTGAACTTTTCGTACAAGAATGATAAGCGCTAAGGCTATTTTGAGCAGATACGAAAGTTAACCGCAAACCTGAGTCCTCCTCCCTCTTTTATAGGCGAGGCTCAGGTATGCGTAAAAAGGCTTCTCGCCTGAGTATGGGCCTAACACTTGGCCCATATTGAATACTATTCTAACAGATATATTTAATCAGTACAGAATAGAAATAGTAAACATCTAACTTATTACAGACAAAACAGACAAACTTGATTCACAATAAAATAGTCTTCAACAATGTGCATGGCAGTCCGTACTTTCATACCCAAAAGTGATTTTGGGTATGAAAGTCATAAGGAAATTTAGCGGATCCTTTAACAAAAGCTCTAGAACGAAAATTGATAACCGTAACATCTAAGGAAATGGGACTTGTGTCACTTTGAAACAAATGGGGATGGGAACTCAACTTGTGTGATTGGAGATCCCATGAAGCAAGTTCAAATGGGTAATAACAAGTCTTCCATTTAGTTCTGCTAGCCTAACTAAACTTGCCCATTTCCATGATGTGAGACATAGGCTAGAAACCGCATTCTTTGAGAGGATGAGCTAAAAGTTCTTAATGATTATCATAGCCTTTAACTTAAGGGTGGTGTGCAAAAGCGGTACACACTTGATGATATCACCTATATGAGTGTGAGGTGGGGCCGCCTCCATGAAGCATGACAAAACTTCTAGAGCACTCATGAAAACCAAGCACGCGCATGGCCGTACGGCGCACAACGGCGTAATAACGAGAAATTGTGCGGGGTGAGACACGATCATTAAGACCCTGATTTACCAATAGTAGCTTGTTGGTTCAAGAAACTATACGTTTCACCAAAAGCTCGATTTATTAAGACTTAATCGTCTCGGTTGGGTTTCAAGTCTACGGACATCAAACTTCAAACTTAAAGTCTCATTCCTTTAATTCAGCAGATATTTTTCTAAACTAATTTTCAAAATTCTCAAAATTATTCATTTGAAATATGCGGGGGATTGTTGGAAAAATAGTAGTATTTCAAATGAATAAAATGTTATTTTCTTTAATTATTTTTCACACACTAATTTATTAATAAATGTTTATACATATTATACATAATAAATTATAATTATAATGAAAATGAAGGAAGTTCTGCAAACTGTTACATGAGCTGTAGTTTTTGTTGTTATTATGAAAAGCGTATTAAATAGTCCACTAACGTTCGATTTTGAGCATGGGTTATCACGGCAGCAAGATCCACTCTTTATTCGATATTAAACTGCCTGCAACGTTCGACCCTGGGTATACACATATACTATCGAAGTATATATTAAGCTACATCTTTTTTGATTAGCACTACGAACAAAAACAATCATTCATGTAACATTACTGGTGGATTATATTTTTTATTACTCTCATTGTTCTGTTACCGGCTTACGCCGAAGAGCTCATTATATCTTGAGGAAAGGTTTTCGCTAGTCGAAAATACTTTCTTGAGGACAGCGTTTACGCGACTCAAGCTATTTTATTATTCTAAACGCTTTTGGCAGGTTTATCTGGCCGAATTTCCACCAACAGCGATCAACCACAATTGGCCGGTGTAAGTAAGTCCAAAACATAATTTTTCAAAATGATGTCAAAATAATAAGGCATAATAACAATAGAATGAGACTAAGCTAAAATCATTATCTTTCTATTATCATAAATAACACTCAAGTTAAACTCATAATTTTCATCAAGATGACGGATGACGGATGAGAAAAGTTGTGCGACTGCTACGCTTATTATTGTTTGTGTAAAAGTTTATACTAAAAAATGTCAGGTTCAGAAAAATTTTAATTTTTATATGCTTGTTTCAAAAAACATCAAAAATCTAGTACTCCATTCGTCCCTGAAAGAACTTTCAACTTTCTTTTTTCATTCGTCCCAAAAGAACTTGCATTTTCCTTTTTTGGTAAAGAATTAGTGATTCACAACATTTCTTACACATTTCTCTATCATCGCACAACTCTCTACCACACAATACTCACCTTCTTAATATGTGTGTCATTTGTACTATGAAAGATCTATTAGGGACGGAGGGAGTAGTATTTTAAGTTTTAGTCATTTAGGATGCTAGCTTTAACCATCATTGCAATTGATTTTAGTAATCAATAATTGTATTATAACAATACAAAAACACGAGATCACGAGGAGGATTTTTTCATTTCTACCTCTAAAGTTTAAACTATTGTTAATCTCCTATGCATTTAATGTATACGTTCAATTGATCAATTCATGTTTCTGTTTTTGTAAAATACGGGAAAAATACGTTTTATACGGGAAATAAAAGTTTTTTTCTTTTTTAAACGGACTGACATTATTTTTCGTTTTAAACGTGTTTTTACTCAAAAAAACAATGTGTTTAAAACGCGTTTAAAACGGGAAAAAACTAACTAGGGTTAGGGGTGAGATTTTGTTAGATTGAGTTGTTCTATTAGAGCATCTTCAATGCTACAATGTGCACGGTGCACATGTGGCATAGGAGATAGCCACATAAATATTACTACCTCCGTCCCATATTTATCTTCGTAGTTCGGTTTACGATGCTTGACTGACGATAAAGCAACTTGATCCCTGTTCACACTCAGATTATTTTTGATAAAAATCCGCTACAAAGGCTGATCAAGAAAATTTAAGTTTGATAAAAAATTAATGGGAAAAGGGGCAAATAAGGCCACGTACTAACCAAAAAAGGTCAAATAAGGCCTTATTTATGAGGCTCTGTCCGGCCTTCGCCATTTGGGTGGTTCTCGGTGGAATTTTTTGATGAATTTTTTTTTACCATCTTATTCATTAAGTCTAGTTTACTCATACCAAATTTCAGATAAAAATTTAATCGAGAAGGCATTCAAATGAATTCTTGAAGATAATTGTGCTTGTAACTGCGCAATTATCTTCAAGAATTCATTTGAATAGCTTCCCGATTGAAGTTTTAGCTTAAATTTGGTATGAGTAAACTAGACTTACTGAATAAGATGCTCAAAAAATTCCACCGAAAACCAACCCAAATGGCAAAGGCCGGACAGAGTCTCATAAATAAAGCCTTATTTGACCTTTTTTGTTAGTACGTGGCCTTATTTGCTCCTTTTCCCAAATTTAATATATAAAGTAAAAGTTTAAGAGTAATTTGAGTTGACCGTGTGAATAATAACTATGAAGATGATTTTGGGACGGAGGGAGTACTAAATAAATTTTTTATCTCCTTATTTGAATAGTTTTATGCAATTTTGGTAAATTTTTCTCAACAATGTAAAGGAAACCGTCTAATTGTTGACATTGCAGTTGACATTGCAGGAAAAACTTACCAAAATTGTATTAAATCAATCAAATAAGGAGAGAGATAATTTATTTGTTAATATTTATGTAATTATGTGATTATCATTCATGTCACATGTACACCGTGTATACTATACTACTATAGCATTGGAGATGCTCTTATTTGGCATAGAAATCCATTAAAATCTTTTAAAATCTATGAAAGTAGATAGTTAGTGAATTCCATAGAATGTTTGAGGATACCTGAATTTTTAAAGACTCCATGGAAATCCAAATTGAGGACACCCGAATTTGGATGGAATTCTAAACTCCATTAAAATCTTTTAAAATACGTGACGAGGACACCTCCCTAAATTTTGGATAATAAACTAAAAAAAACGCTGCCTCAAAGTTGTACCACTTTGAGCATTAAAGTACATCATGGAAACACACCTTTTGTTTTAACTACACCATATAGGCATATATAGTTCATAATTAAAAGTCAAAACTGATAAATGCACAAAAGGGAAACTACACGATATCTTTCTTGACCACATCAAAGATTAGCCAATGGAACATTTAAAAGTTCCGTCGTTGTCTCTCTTCAGCCACGTTGACTCTGATTGCCCTCCCTTCGAGATTCTGCACAACACCAATTATACAAGATACTGAGCCCTGTTTTAAAGTAGTACTTTTTCAACACTGTCAAAGGAGACTTTATTTAGTGAGTAATCAGGGTTAAGAAACATACACAAATTGGCATAGAGGGAGGGGGTAAGTGAGGGAAACATGGGAGATACTTGGTAATTTTGATGGAAGCGATTAATGTGAGAGATAATTAGTTTTGGAGGGGAGTTACTTTCATAACACTCCATTCTTACCCTCCATTCTTAATCTTGACTATCCATGGCAAGGGTAGGAATTCCAAGCTCATGTTGATCACATTCCACTGAAACTCAAATAAGTTTGCTAAGATGGAAAACAGATGGGTGGAAAGTTTTTTCTTAATTTTCAATGAGAAAGTAAGCACTTTCCATTTCCTCTTAGGGCATGTCAAGTTTGCAGGGAAAGTGGGAAGGTAACAACTGTAACTTTTTTGTGGGGAAGGAGATGAGGGGTGTTTTCACTACCAACCCCTCACCTAGAACGAAACACATCCACAAGCGGACTGACTTGTTATTCTTACCTTGCCATCAAGACTTGCAATGGCATCATTCATTTCGGCCTCGCTGGACAGAGTCACAAAGCCAAAGCCTCTGGAACGGCCATTCTCTCGGTCACGAACCACACGAGCACTAGTGACTCTGCCATGTAAGCTGAACATTTGCTCAAGGCGTGAGTCGTCCATACTCCAAGGAATGTTCCCCACATATACTTTGTAAAAAGGTTCAAAGGGACGCTCTGGCCTTGTTCCTCTTGGAGCGGCCTTGTTGACTACCAAGGGCCTTCCATTTAACTCCTGTCAGTCACCAATTTAACCATTACATATCAGCCATTAGAAAACTATACAACTCTACATATCCTGTGAGTTAACTGTATCACGATGTACCTACATGTACTCCAAACTTAGATAAATATGACCAATGTTTCACTACCCACCACAAGATTTAAAACACCCTCAAAATCTGGATGAGAGGCTCAAAATTTCCACCCCAAGATACGGAAACACACTTGGGTTGGTAATAGACAACTCCTTGACCACTTGTAATTTACCAGCAAAACTAATTTACTTATTCAAGACTGAGCTACAAACCACACAAATGCTTACTTATTTTACTTATTCATGCAATGTTTGAGCTAGGCTGGTTGAAAAGTAATGGTTAAAGCTCTAGTGGGCGGGATAAAGGAAAAAACAAAAAGTTTACACTAATTTTTTTTTAAATTAGGTTGCTATGGACTTCCAAACACCATAGCCGAAGTGTAAATCCGCCCTTGGTTAGGCCCAAACAGGCCTCAAAGCTATTTTCCTTCGAGGCTAGGTGAAACCTCGAGGTGTACATGAGGCGCATTCTTTCCAATGCTTGAAGCATTAGTTAGAGCTTCTAAAAGTCTCCCTTTTTTTACTCATTTGCCTCCTCCCCACGCAGAGGTAATGTTTTCCTTTTGTATATGTCTCCAATTAAAGTCTATCTTTCTTTTTTTGGTTAAAGCAAAAGTTTTTCACACTTGAGTAATTAAATTCCTTGGCCTGAGGCCTGACTATGGGTGCTCTAAATAACCAGAAGGACAACTTCAAAGTTTCAGAAATAAATCCCAATCAGCTTCTATAGCACTTTTAGCTTGCATTTATATTTAAAAATCTTTCTTTGTACGTGAAAAGCCTGAAATGATAACAACAACAACAACAACATCCAAGCCTTAATCCCAAAAGAATTTGGGGTCGGCTAACATGAATCGATCTATGATATCGATGCCAAACAGATAAGACGGACAAGAAAGGGAAGAAAAAAAAAGAGAGGATAAACGAATAAAATAAAGCTAAATAAATATAAGATAACAATAACACAAGAATATAAGAAAGATAAAAGAAAAAAAATAAAAAAGCATAAAAAGGCTAGAAGATAAAAATAACATATGAATATAAAAAGATAAAGAAGATAAACGATAAAAGAAAAAAGAGAGGAAAAGTAGAAAAGACATCAATCGTCCACACGGAAAAGCCTGAAATGATAATTGAGAAAAAACTCTTTTAAACACATGCAACCTTCTCCGACCCCTATTCTAACAGTGTGGCAAGAAAAGCTAAAACCAAAGCAGACATCTATCACTGAGATAATTTCTGCACTTGAACTATTTTATTGAATCACCACATAAATTCATAAGATGAAAGGAAAAAGGACCAAATAAGCACTTGCACTATTTCAAGTTCATAACATAAACTCTATACAAAAACGAGTACTACCTCATCCCAGTTTAAGTTTCCCATTAAAAATTGGAGCAGTTGTTTAGGCAATAAGTAAATGAGTCGAAAGTTATTCTTTTCAAAGTCTCCCTTTTTTGTTTTTTGTAAGAAATTTATAATGAAGGTCGAGAGTTCTTTTCAGCCAAAGGAAGTGAAAACAAGTAAGTGGAGGTCATTTTCATCTTCTTTTTCCCTCTCCTTTCCTTCGCTAAGGGTTGAAACTTGAAAGAGTTTTTCGCCCCATGAAATGGAGGTCAAATAATCAGTTTTGATATTAGCCTATTAGGTTGAAGTATTTTCTGATGTGGACGCCTTTCTAGGACACATGTATCAGCGGCATCATAGAAAAATCCAGGCGTGAATGAGGTGCAGGAAAAACTAAACAACATGTATGCAAAGTGGCTGAGAAAGCTCCATGACAAGTCTGGCAGCTTGGTACTTGGTAGTCAATCAATTATGACTGCTGAATTATTATCAGATTATTTGATGCGATAAAGTTATGTCTTCAGTAACTTTTTTGTCTCTTAATTATTACAGGACTCTTTCTGTGTGATTTCCTTTAGTATCAGAACTCTGATGTAGCCTATATAAGAATCTTTGGTATATGATATTAAGAGATCTTGGGAAGAACTAATTTGTGTGTGTCTTGACAAGTTCGGACACTGAATTAATTCTAACTAGTAACTAAAGCATAGTTGTTTATCCTAGGGGTCTGTTTTGTACCGATCTAAAATTCTAAGCAAAGATAAAAAAAATCCTACTACTTCATCTTCTTATCAGTTTGTGCAATCTCAACCTTGGACAAAGTCTTGTACAAGTGTTCTTAACGATTTGGTATCAGCTTTTGGATTGATGGGAACAGTGGTCCATTGGTGCCTATATTTAAAAAGGCACTTACAGGAGGCTTTTGAAAGGTCAAGATGCTTACACCTCAAAAGTTGAGGTGTACTCCTTGAGGCGCTTTCTGAGGTGCGAGTTCCTTTGTTTTTTATATTTTATGGGTTGTGACTTAATAAAGGTCTAGTTTATTTTAAGTAGGATTTAATTAAGGTCCCATACATTACACATGTGTCCATAGTTCACACTAAACCCCTAACAAGTCTTGTTTCATTTGAAGTATTCACTAATTTACTAATCATTATAATGTTTGCATATTTCTGCACAAAGAAGTTTTCATACTCCTTTAGGAAGAAGTCAACAACTTCTTACAAACAGTCCATTCTTCTAGGTAACTTCTCTTCTCCTCGTCTGCTCTTCCTTTTGTTCTACACATCGTCTTCTTCATCCCCTCTCCTTCTCTTCTTCTTCTTCTCCTTCTCTCCTCTTACTTTCGGTCATCTTTTGCGAGAACTGGTCAAGGTTTTACAAGAGACTAAAAGATGACCACCTTAAAATAATATCTCTAACCAATAATGAGGAAAATCTTTTGGTTGATGTTTTGCCAACTGATGATGAATGGCTTGTGTTCATCTTTGTGTTTGTGAGTGATACTAATTGGACTTAAAGTTATCCATTTCTACATATGTTTATTACTAGTTTAACTATTATATGATTTATTTGTTGTTATACTTTGAGGCTTAGGCCTCAATACGCCTTGAGGCTTACACCTCGCCTCTCCAGAATAAACCGCCTCGATACCCGAACCAGCCTTTTAAAACCTTGATCACACAAGTTTGAAGTGTTTGTTTGGATCAAAGGCTTACAAACTCTCCCCAACAAGACTGGATCAGTAAGCTCACGGGATTCTCTTTTCGAGTGGAGTACAAATCGGGTCATCTCAGCCCCGTTACAAACACCTTTCCTCGCATAGATGTTACTATCAGAGATGTTCCTTTGGAGACAGTAGCCACCATGTCCATTCCCTACAACACATTATTGACTAAAACTCATGCAATCCAATCTGCCACTCTTGAGATAGCACAACTTGGACAATGCATTGTGGAAGGATCACTGTGTGATGATTGGGAGTACCATGACGGATTGGTTCACTTCCATCATAACTATATTTGTTGCGATCTTCTCATGTCGTACCGACATTGCTCTCTTTATTTCATGGAATGGCTCATGAAGGAATTGAGAAGACACTCCAACGAATGTGAGGGGAGTTCTATTAGACCAATATGAAGAAAAGGTGTGGCAGAATACATTTGGGGCTGCCAAACTTGCCAACAAACAAGTGGCTCAACCTTCAGCCAACAGGGTTGCTCCAACCGCTCCCAATCCTTACGCATATATGGGAAGATATTTCTATGGATTTTATCGAAGGACTGCCCAAAGTTCAAGGGAAAACAATTATCTTTGTGGTCATACATCACTTATCTAAATCAGCTCACTTTATCCCATTGAGTCACCCATTTATGACAGTCTCGGTAGCAGCAGTTTTTTTTCAAAGAGATCATTCGACTTCATGGGTTGCCCGAATATATCGTCCCAGACTAGTGGACTACATTGGGGGGCACAAGCCATTCATAGGGAAATCATCAACCAAAAGGTTTTCCTTATCATTGGTGAAGGATCTTAGTTTAAGTTGTCTATATTTTGGTCTATTGTAATACCTTGACCAGCTTTAGGAAAGCATGACCAACAACTCACTACAAGAAAAAGAGGGAAGGAGAAGAAGAAAAAATGAAGGAGAGAAGATAAAACAAATCATACTGCTTCATCATCTTACCAGTTTGTGCGGTCTCGACCTTGTACGAGAAGTGTTCTTAACATATTTGTATCGGTAAAAAATGAACTACTAAACTACTCCCTCCGTCCCATAAAATTCTTCCCACTTTCCTTTTTGGGTCGTCCCAAAAAAATCTTCCCACTTACCATGTTTGGACAATTTGTGTGGTTCACATTCATTTCACCTTTTTCTTACACAACTACAACCATACATTTCAACTTTATTCCACTTTCTTAATCTCCGTGCCAAGTCAAAGTGGGAAGAATTTTCTGGGACGGAGGGAGTACTATTTAAGACCAATAGAAATAAACTGTTGCCGTGAAGGGGTGTCAAAGTATTTTGCACATCAGTAAAATATGAACTATTAAAGCACTATATAAAATTTTGGGTTACTTTTACAATAAGGTAAGATGAAACTCTAAACCTCAACGCAAGTAAGAAAGGGGAAAACAATAAGAAAGAAAGAAAAAACGTCTATGAGAGAAAAGATGATGAACAGTATTTTAAAGAAAGCTAAAAAGAAAGAAGAATGTTGTACTATTAGAAAAAGAAGAAGAGTTTTAACTTTTAGGAATTTCCATCCATGATATATATTATTTTGTACATTACTTGTACTCCCTCCATATTGAAATGTTTGATACACGTTTCTTTTTGGGATGTATTTTAATTTTTGCCACACTTTCCCTTGTTGGTAAGTTTTCCCTTTAAAAATATTCAATTGCCCTTATTTTTCTACTTTTTATCTTCTTTTCCATAATTTTCCACTCTCTCCCCTAATTTTTCTACACTATTAATTACCCCTACTACTTTTCACTTAAATAGTGTGACAACCCCTATTGTAGCAAACATTTCAATATGGAGGGAGATAAATGGAGAGCTATCACTTCAACATATTTTTGTGTCGAAAAAGGTCAAATAAGAGTGACAAGACATTCTCACGACGCAAGCGATAGAGACATGGTTCATCAGTCTTGTGATCTCCCCAAACAATGCCTCTTTATCTTTATAACTCATACTTGTTTTACAAATCCTCTTACCCAACTCCATGGTTTTCCAACAATATTTCTTCATGGGTTCACTTTTCCAAATAGCTTTGAGATGGGGGGAAATCCAGCGCATTTTCCAATTGATCCAAAAAAGGATAAGATAAAAAAATCAAATCGGGAAGAATTAAAATTTTGGAAGAGGTGGAGAACTAATTGAGAAGACAAGAAGAAAATTGAAGGAGAATAAAGGAAAGGAAAAGCATTGCTAAGAAAATCTACCTAGGAAGTAATACAAGACATTTGGATTTTACAAGTTGGACCACGTCGTCGTCATCTAAGGACATATTAGGCTAGTTGATCATCAACTTTGAGCAAGAAGATTTATATGATACTTAGTTTTAAGTGATGGATTAAAACTCATAGAAGCAGTTTTTTAGAAACATTATATGAAAGGATAATGATACTTCCTCGGACCAACTAAACTTTACATACTTTCCTTATGTGGACGTTAGTAAAACATTGTCATTTACCATTAAAAGTAAAGTATTTGTGGTTAGTATTGAAATTCTTCGTAATCAAATTTAGGCAAGCTTAGAGGGTGTTTGGAGTTGATTCTGCTTGCTTCTTTTTAAAAGTAAAAGTAGAATTAGAATCAATTTTTTAGGAGCTAATCTCCCCCAGCTTCTAAAAAACTGCTTTTAAAAGTAGTTTGGAGCACTTAGAAGTACTTATGCACTTTCGCTCAAACACTCAAATATTTGTTTCTGCTTTCTGAAGGAATAGAAGTAGTTTAAAGAAGTAGATCCAAACACCCCTTAGTAATACAGATGGGGTATAACCTATTCAAGGAATTCCTTCTTTTACTTTTAAGGTCCGTAAAAATAATGTTTAGCCAATCAACAATCCAAAACACCATATAATGTATAAATTCAATAAAAAGCTCAATGTGAAGTGAATATTTTGGAAACTGACACCAAACGAGAAACAAGTGATTCAACCAAAAGAGTGGGAGTATCAACTCACATAACGATTGAACACCTGAACTGCTTTGTCAGCTTCTTCAATAGTACTCATTGTCACAAACCCGAACCCTCGGCTCTGCTCAGTATCCCTGTTATAAATAACCTACCATGAAACACCCACAGCATTATATCACATTATCACTTTTATACCTCACTAATAGGCGAATCAAGTTCAATCTAGGTGAATAGTTTCTTTCTCACAGTTTGTGGACTTGTGCAATATCAAGGTGATCCATTCCACTTGTGTTACCACAAAATGGGGAGTAATGCGAGTGTATGTGCTATGTTATGCAGAGCATTTTTAGACTTACATTACCCTAATGGAAACAAGTTTATAATGAAACTCAACAAGGTAGCTCACATCATCCCAAGAACAAATCCATTTTCATTCAGGTAACTGATATTTCCTCCCAACCTAGGCTTGAACCTCAATCCAATCGAACATAAACAAATTATTACCTCAGCAATCTCAACAGTCCCAGCCTGTTGGAAAATCCTAGCCAAGCTTTCATGATCCACGTCAAAAGGCAAGTTCCCTACAAATAGTTTTGCATCCTCCGGCGGTTCTACACACTCGCCGGCATCTTCACCAAACATATCGTCACTCTCTCCAGCATCTCCCTCGGAATTGAAAGCTTCAATAAAATCTTCGTCTTCATCTTGGTCCTGCTCGTCGAGAAAGATGGTGTTGTCCTCTTCTTGTTGGGAAGCTAAGGCAGAAATCAGTGATCGAAGATGGGGTTTGGGTCGGACCCTCCTGAAGGACAGAGGTAAAGAGAGCGAGGATGAAGAGTAGGAGCAAGAGAGGTGGAGCTTACTAGGCCGTGAAGCGAGTGAGAGACATTGGGATTTTGAAGCGGTGGAAAGATATGATGGAACGGATATGAAGCAGCTATTTTGGGGCAGGGCTGGAGAATTCATAACTGGACTGAATGTACAGTGCATTGATGGGGAGGAAAGGTACACTATGCGAGAGGGAAGGGTTTACGGAAGTTGAGATAGGCGGGCGGAGAGCGCAGACAAAGACGGATACCCCAACCCCAACATGCGGGTAGTAGCGAACTTTTCTGTCAACCAAGACACTTTTCCGGATTTACGACCTTCTCTCGAGGGTCCAATCCCCGCAAATGGAGTAAGGGGCACACGTACAAAAAAAATGTATGGGGAACTCTTCGCTACACTTGTATCATACTACCTCCCTTAAAACTTTGACAAAGTTGACCGGCACGGAGAATAATAAATTAAAAATTGTGTGGTTGAGGATTGTGCAGAGGAGAGAGAAATGACAGAAACCACAAAATAATTGATTAAAAGGGAAAGTGACAAAGTTTTTTTGGACGTCCCAAAAGAGAAAGATGACAAAGTTTTAAGGGACGGAGGGAGTAGCATGTTTTGATATACTACCTTCTTTCCGCTATGATTGTCTCATTTTACCTTATCGGTTCTCCCACTAACATTGTCTCATACCAAATTTGGTAAAGTTTGTGTAGCTCTAAATCATTCTTACTTTATTCTTACTTTATCAATTCAATATCAACCACATAAACCATTTTTTATTAATTTGTGTGTCACTCCTTCTTGTCCCATTGTTAGCGGGACGGAGGAAGTATATTCATGTCATGTCATGTGTTCATTTAAATAATTCCAAATTTGTCAAAGTGATCCCTATACTTTTGATGTTTATAATTTCGTCTTTTCAATAGACCACCCCTTCGCTCGATGAAAGTTCAAATCTTCTCGCAACTGATATTTATGACGCTATGAGGGTTCACCCAACATTCCTTTCTGTTGCAATGGATATGAGAGTGACAGAGCAACGGGAAACACCTAGATGACGTTCCCCCGCTTCTCATTTTGGACTGCCGCATGATTGGATTTCTTATTTTTACACAAAAAATCCCTCTTCGGAAGACTCTGTGGCAGAACGATCAGACGAAATGAAAGCATATGATCGCACCAAATGGGGTTTGATCCTCATGATTTCCCCCTTATGTTGTTCTCATTCTCTGAACTGCTGCATTATGCCGCCCTTATCTCCCTCTCGTTCGACTTTACCTTTCAATCACCCCATCCCCACCTGCAAACCTTATTTGATCTTTGATCGACCGGTCTCCGAGACCAAACCTCATATACGCTCAGCAAGCTTCTATTTTATTTTACATTTTTGACTCCTTAAAATTTCTATCATTTCTAAAGTATTCACTTCATATTAGATTAATTGTTGTATGTTATAATGATTAGCATGAATTTCCATTTTTGATACTCAACTGATTTTGTTAATTATGGAAAACATTTGCATTAGGCACGGCCTCTCTTTTACTTGTCTTGATTACTAGTATTAGAATTCTTTTCTCATGGATTTAATATTTCTAGCCATGTTTGACTGTGACATCATATGCTCCTCATTTTCATCTTCTTTTTTACTTTTCCGGGGTCTCCTCCTTTTCCGGCATTTTTGGGTCCTCCGTTGTCTTACCCCTCCTTGTGGTAATGACCATCACGTTTTCCCTCGGATTCATCTCCGTGATTGTAGGGAATGTCTTGCTCCCTAGAACTTACTTTTTGGGCAAGTTGCCCTATTTGAACTTCAAGATTCTGAGTGGATGCCTTGTATTGCTCAATGGTGTCAATGTGTTGGTTGAACTTCATATTTTGATCTTCAAAACGAAGATCCAACTTGGTGAATTGAGTGGAGATTTGTTGGGTTTCGGGCAGAAAAACGCAGCGGAATAAACAAAAAAAATACTGCCCAAAAGTAAACAACCGGATCTGAGGTTCTTACTATAAACGAAATTACAAGATATGAGAGGGACTTACATAGCAATCTTAAGCAAGGATGTCACACAGTCCGAGAAAACAATCTCGAGCTCTACCAGTATCCACACGCACGTGACTGGATCGGCCACAGGGGACGTGCTAGCGTTCTCTTCTTTCTCTCTCTCTCTAGGGTTTGAGATGTGAATTTTAACTCTTGAAATTCATGGGGTCTCCTTAGCCCTATTTATAAGAGGAGGAAAGAAGGAGTTTTATAGCTAATAAAACTCTCTTGGAGGCCCTAGCCCAATACCATTCGAAAACCTACTTTGAATTGGGCTAATCGGGCTATTTTAATGTTATTAACGAACATTAATGATCCAAATCACTTAGGTGTGTGACCCTGTAGGTTTATATATCGTTGGCAGTGGGCTAGAAAATTAATTCAAGCCTCACAAATCATAAGCGGCCTCTAGCAAGGCATTATGACTATCCAAAATATATAAATGTCAATTAAATCTGACATAACCTTCTAATGATTAATTTGTGTTAATAATTCTCTTTTGTCAAACGATATCTTAATTGAGACAAGGTTAGGTCGTGTCATCCTTGTTATTCTCAATTAATATTTCTTGATTACCAAGTAAGATTAACCTTGAACAAATGACACCTCATTTGAGCATGGTCATGCTAATTAATCTTACTTGTCAAGGGGCCCAATAGATATCTTTCTCTCGTTATACGAGAGTGACAAAAACTAGCTTGATAATTCACATACCACTAGATGGTTCATAATATGTACAATCACCACCTTTATAATTACCCGTTTAAAGATAACATTTAATGGTGTTAATACATATTAATTCACATGCAAGTAACCATGATTATCTCAAGTATAAGAATATAGCACCTCATCATTATTGAGGACAACACTGATGACATATAACCTAGCAGTGTCCTCAAGTTGGGTCTGTCCAATGAACTTGTTCACTAACAAGCATATGTGTTGATGGAGTATATGGCCCAGGAACCCCCCGGCCCATAGACTCCCACTACTACAACGAAGGCCCAATAAGCCCAGGAAGCACAGCAGGCCCAAATCACAGCGCCCCGATTGCCAAGCAGCCCACGACGTACACTTGGGTGCCTTCGGCCCCCATGTCCGAAGGCTCATAAACTTACAGTACAGCTGCTTTTAGGCACTCGAATTTACCGGGAGAAAACGGCGAAAACAGTAGCCCTCGGTACCCAGAGCCCTCGGCACACAGAGGCCTCCGGGTTGAAGAGCCTTCGGCTAATCATATACAGCCGAAGGCACCTTCCTTGACAGAATATCCCATCCACATGTGCTGGATCAACGTACCAAGTACAAACGTCACATCCAACCACCGCATATAATGCGGCCACATGCGAGTGTCGGTGCCGCCCCAGTTGAGGTGACCCCTCGACCATCAGATTGTTGACATGTGTCCCTATCTAGCATTTATTGCTGCTATAAATAGCATCCATTTCCCCATTTGTAAACCACGCTGAATACTCACTCTCTCACTTACTTATTTGCTCTGACTTCTCTCTAAGTTACTCCCTGCAGTAACCTCTCGGATGAGCTACATAATCAACAAGAGGAGGCAACTTTAGAGAGGTTTTCTGAATTGGAAGAGATGCTCATTCAGTTTATGCATACCACTTCAGCCAGAATGCAGAATTTAAGCAACACGATGAGTCAGCTGGCATAAGCCCTATCTGAGGAGCCCGAGAGATCCCATCCTAGTGACAGTGAAACCAATCTGAGTGAAAATGTCGAGGCTGACACGCATACAGATGAAAAGCACCTTGAGACACCTGATCACAATAAAGAAGCATCCATCCCCATGAAAGAAGAATTGTCATGTACATATTCAGATGTTCACCCGTGCATTGTCTCATATCTGGATTTGTTTGATTCACCGATGAAAGATGATGCTCCATTTACCAATGACGACCACATCATCCGAGAAGACATTGATAAGAACGGTGTTAACGAGAGTTGGGATGCTCACATGGAGAGTGATACGGAGTCTAGAGGGGGGGTGTTTTGAATTTTCTTGATATTTATGAGGAAGAAAAAGAATTTTCTATGCTGCAGTTTGAGTACGATGTTGCTTCAGATCTTTGCTTTGAAACATCTTTTGAGCTTCTCGTGATGCCTGGAGTGATAAAAAAAATTGACTCATGTCCGAAGGCTCATAAACTTACAGTACAATTGCTTTTAGGCACTCGAAGTTACCGGGAGAAAACGGCGAAAACAGTAGCCCTCGGCACCCAGAGCCCTCTGCACAGAGAGGCCCCCGGGTTGAAGAGCCTTCGGCTAATCATATACAGCCGAAGGCACCTTCCTCGACAGAATCTCCCATCCACATGCGCTGGATCAACGTACCAAGTACAAACGTCACATCCGACCACCGCATATAATGCGGCCACATGCGATTGCCGGTGCCGCCCCAGTTGAGGTGACCCCTCGACCATCAGATTGTTGACATGTGTCCCTATCTAGCATTTATTGCTGCTATAAATAGCACCCATTTCCCCATTTGTAAACCACGCTGAATTCACACTGAATACTCTCTCTCTCTCTCTTACTTATTTGCTCTGACTTCTCTCTAAGTTACTCCCCGCAGTAACCTCTCGGATAAGCTACCCCCCGGGTACACTTATCCATCATTTGGTGCTCTCGTTGAGAGTTCGAACAATCAAGTAAGAAACCCTCTCCCTCAGCTAAAAACACCTACCAAAATGGGGAAAACCACCCGTGCTCAGTCCAAGAACCTTGAGGACAACAACCTGGCCCTCGGTGAAGTCAACGCCCCCGGAGCCTCTAACAAGGCTCCCGAGGGCGGGGTCATCACTGAGTTGGAACATGCTGCTATTGACTTGCGCTTTCAGCTCCAGCAAAACGCTCCCGATGCCCGCCTTGGCATCGAAACCCGAAGGATGGACCTGAGCGAAAATCAAGTGAGCCCTCCGGTTCTCACTATCGATGTACAGTCGACATTCTCTGCCTTCATCCAAACACTCACTCAAAACCCAGGTGCCTTCAGCACTCTGGTGCCCCTTCAACCGCAAATCGGGGAGAACGTTGTTCTTCTCCCACGACAACCCCCCTTCATGAACCTTACCCCTCGGGTGGGGAACGACGAAGGGGTCGTAGCTCAAGACACCGCCTCCCAGGAAGTCCAATCCCGGGACCAACGCGATGTGAACAAAGAAAGGCCTCAGACCTCAGCCCTCGAGAGGCTCGGAGGAGTGCAAGACTGCCGAGGGGTCCAAGACCGCCTCGGTGGAAAGGCGTCCCAAAGACCCCAAGAGAGCGGGGGATCCGTCTCAAGGGCAGACAAGAGGCGTCCCATCAGGACAAAGGCAAGGCA